AGTATAAAATTTTAATTAGAAATTTTTATACTAGAAAGTTTTAATTATATAAAGAAACCGTCCTAGAAAGCAGTCGAAAACTAAGTCATAGACTTCATTTGGGACGACTTTCTTACCGCTTCTTAAATATATATATATATATATATATATATATATATAATTTGATTGGATAGAAAATGAAAATGTCTAATAACTTCTAACATTTTTTTTAATAGAAATAATTTTGGCACTTTACACTTTTTTATTTTTTTAAATAATTATACCATTAAATTTTATAGTGGTTATTATTATTATGATTATTTTTCATTATCTAATATAATATATTGATATTTTATAATGTACTGATACTTTATGAAATGATATTTCTCATAACAACAATCAATTTTAATCTTCATTTTAATATTCTTTGTAATATGAGTGTCATCTCCATGATGCATCTCTAAAAAAATGAAAAATTATTACGTGCGGTGTCTCGGCGCATCTGGAGGTCAATCTGGATGCACCACGTCACCCAATAAATAGTGCATTGAGTGACGTGGCGCATCTGTATTGACCTTCAAACAAGTCCAAACTAGCCTCCGGACTCCGCAATAAATGATAGAGTATTGATGATAAAATTATGTCTATATAGATGAATATCAAATATTTTACTATGCCCATTAAATCTCTCAGTCAGATCATGAAATACATCAATGACTCATTATTTTCTTTAGTATTAGCATATTGCGACAGTACGAAGAGCAATATATCTTCATAAGTATTCTTAAATATTTCTTTACTATTAGCATAGGCTTTGTTTGTGATGGCTTTCTTACTGTTTCTTAAAACAGTTTTTTAATATTAAAAAAAATCAATTTTTATACTAGAAAGCTGCTTTAAAAAATAATAAAATACCGTTTGATATAAAATATATTTGAATTTATGAATTTCTTAATTCGTAAATTTCATGAGCATTTCTAAAATGCAACAAATATACCACAATTTTTAGCTTGATTTATTGAATTGATTAGTTATGTAATATGCTAGCTCTTTTAACTCTTCATACTCTAAAAAAAGCTGCCTGACTTATAATTGAAGTGACGAAAAACTAGAGCTAAATGTTTTTATATTTACAGCCATTGAATTGGAGGCATTTTTAAATATTAACTATTGTAAGATGCGAGTTATTGTCACGACCCAACCCGAAAGTTCAAATAACGAGATTAGAACAAATGGTTGGACAATTGATTAAATTTCAATCACTAACTAATTATTTCTAATATACCAAAATATTAACATTTTAAAATTAAATATTATAAATACCTTTCACTCAGATTGTCACATCTTTTGTCATAATCCGACCCGGAGGCTCGAATGAACGTGACGGGAACAGATGGTCGGACGGTTGATTAAATTTCAATTACTAACTAACTATTTTCAATACATAGAAAGAGTCAATAAAACTTTAAAATTTTAAAATCAAATATTATAAATACCTTTCTCTCGGAGCATCACGTCTATGATATACATTTTTTTCTTTTATGCTCATTTTAGCTAATTAAATTATACATATATATGTAATTATTTTTCAATGGAAAGAGAGTCATAACATAACTCAATAACTAAATACTGCTTCTAAAATTATAGTAACACAAGGACTTTGAAACAATATGCTTGCTCATTTTTAAATATAAATTTCTTCCATTTAATTTCATTTTATCATAATCATCGCTATTATGCATTTAACATATCTTTATTTTTTTTGTAAATAATATAGCCGTCACATAAAACATCATCTAAATTGTACCAATGAAGTTACTCCTTACAAAAAAATTTGAAGTTACTCCTTTTCCATTTTATTTTTCTTTTTTCCATAATATTTTCTATTTGCGTGCACGAATACATTGAGTTCCCATCCAGTACTATAAGAGAGTGCTCCACCATTCAACTTGCGCATGCAAACATAAATATATAGCCAATTCATTCATATAACATTCATTTACTTTCTATGAAAAGTATAAATCATAACATATAATTTTTTTAAATATATAATTCTTAAAATAATTATAGAGTATTTTACTAATTAAGATTTCAGTTATTATTAAATTTTATGATACATGTTGCTCTCTCTCTCTCTCTCTCTCTCTCTCTCTCTCTCTCTCTCTCTCTTCCCAATTAGCTAAATAAAGCATGTAATTGTTATGGCATTTAATTGATTTCTAAAAGTGCTTATTTTATCACTTAAATTAATGACAAAATTTATTCTCTTTGTTCTAGATAAAAAATTTATTATTTCATCATTACTATTAGATTTCCATATTAATTTATTGATATAATTTAATGATATCTCTCTAAGAAAATATCCTTTTATTTTCAAAGCTTAAATTTTACTTCAAAAGAATTTATTTTAGTGCTTATAACATTTAATTAAATAAAATCTCTTATATATTAAAAATTTAGACACATGCTTCTTTCTCTCTCTCCCTCTCTCTCTCACTCTCCATTTTACTATAAATATTAATCTAATGATTAAACTCTCAAAAATTAAATTATTGTATAAAATTCCAATACATATTGAAAAAATAATTTATTGTCTTTTTAAGTTTCCTGCCTTCAGTTTCCAAAAAACGCGATGGAAAGCTCCTTCAATTGCTTCATCCATTTCAACATCTTCGCATTCTTCACGCGACTCGCGCAAGACAGGGTATTATAGTTATCAATACATTTTCTTTGTCATGAATTTCATTTTTAGCCCTAACACATAGGAAGAATAAAAAAACCTCACCCGTTTATTAATTTTAGATAGATTAGAACTAGGATTATAATCTATAATAAATTCTTTAATATTCTATAAAGGCTTTCATATTTATAACATATATGTCCATAACATCAACCTCTAAATATTGTATGTTTAGATTACTTAATTATTATCATAATATATCCACATTATCATCAAATCAGTGAAAGATTGTGAAATAAGTTATCTTTAATCATCCTCATTCACATAAAAATTTATAATTTTTTTTTAAATCAATAGACATAAAAAATCAATGTTGAATGAATAAGAATACCTAATTCAACAAATCTTACAAGAGGTTCCAAACAAATAGTTAGAGCATCAATATCTCATTGAAAAGGACATCAATAGGACCCACATCATCTCAAGCTAATGATAGGACCACAGCATTTATAACTGGCAACAAAACTGATGCCATGCAATGATGCCAAAGAAAGCCTGAGGTTCATCTTGTAAAATCATTCTGTATGGATACGGATACGGACGCCGTTCAAAGGTGAATCATGACATGCCACGTTAATTTTTTATTGCATATGCAATCATCTACCGACGTATACCAGATGACATGGCACGTTCTGATTCACCTCCGAACCGTTCGATGTCAACACATAATAATTTCTTAGTTGCAACAGTATTTGAATTTAAAATTTCACCGGTTAGAATAATTTTTATTGTTATTACTTATTAATGATGCCAAAGAAAGCGACAACACGCTAGATGAAGTTCGTCTTGTTAAATTATTTTGTACAGACGTCATCCGGAGGTGAATCATAACATACCACTTTGATTTTTTATTGCATCTGCAACCATCTACTGACATATACCGGATGACATGACACGTTCTAATTTACCTCCTTACCGTTTGATGTCAACACATAATAATTTCTTAGTTGCGACGGTATTTGAATTTGATATTTTAAGGGTTATGTGAATAAATGGTGAAATTTATGCTAAATATATAAATGATGAAAATTTTCGGTGCGATTTATGTAAAGCACCCAATGCAAATTAATCAACAATAAACACGAACGTTCAATTCAATTGATATGACAAAACGATATTACAAAAACCTCTTATTTTATTCAATTTAGGTCATATTTTATAAACCCCCGTGTCGTAAGATTTACACCATTTATTAATTAAAAGGATTAACGATTCCCAGCGGCACTGATTATCTAAACCGAGTGAATATTCAATAAAAAAGCTATTGGGTAAGGAACGAACTTTTATTAGGTCCGGTGTAAGGACGTAGAGAAACATCCAATTGGAGGCAAAATTTCGCAAAAAAACTCGATATTTGCTCGGTATTGCTAGGTATTATTTGATAATAATGAGGAATACCGTTCTGTGAAGCCGAGCTATATTGAGCAATACCGAATTGTACCGAATTTTTTCTAGGAAAAACTCGGTACAACTTCTGTATAACTCAATATAGCTCGGTATAACTCGGTATTGGGTCTTCACGTGATGGTATCCATCGTTATTGTTTGGTATTGCTCGGTATTTGCTCAGTATTTCTCATTTTTTTGGCGTGATTTGGCCTCCGACCGAACGTTCCACTACGTCCGGTCGGAGGACGTAATAATTGTTCGTAAGGAACACCCATAGGCACCAACACCAATCTGATCATCTCCAATAAAATATCTTCACGTCTACATTAACCGTAAAGGCACGGCTCAAAAACAAAACAAAACATTCAACGCTCATACTCATACTGACTGTTTGAAGTAACTTCAGAATTGTTAAAAAGAATAAAAGATAATTTGAAAGAAGCAATGGACATAAAATATTTTTTTACTCCTAAAAAAATTACATAATAATTTTCGTGCAGTTAAAGTACTTAGAAAATTTGATTATAAAATATTATTTCTCAATTATCATCACCAAAAATTCAAAAATAGAGAAGAAAAAGCATTAATCAAATGAAATACAAAATTAAGGTTTCGTTTGGGACGGTTTTTTGATGCTTCTTAAAACAACTTTTTTGTATAAAAATTTTAATTTTTTTACTACAAAGTTGCTTTAAAAAACAATAAGAAAGCCGTCCCAACCGGAGCCTAAGAAAATGAAAAGCTGCACCAAAACGATCAAGTGACACTAACCATTAATGTAGCAAGCCATAACCACTCGACATCAGCTTTCTACCAATAGCAACAGAGTACTCTGTTGGATCTCTCTGAGCATACTCATATTAACGACCTGAGAATCCCTCCCATCCTTCCAGGTCTCTGCAACGTTCATCAAATATTGAATGGCAGATATCTCTTTATCTTTCAGGAAACTTCGACCGCGTTGGCGATTACTATAAATACCCTCAAAATCATTTGATTTTGCCATGGCTTTCTGAATAACCGAGAGGGGTATTCCTATATACTCAACAAGCAAATAAAAGCCATCAAGCAGGCAATATAAATATAAAAAAGTATAAGAAAATTGAAGGGCGCAATACCAGCCAGGCGAGCAACATTTACGCCATAGCTTTTGGGACAAGAACCAAGGGTCAGTTTGTAAAGGAATGTGACTTCTTCCACGCCGTCTAATCCCTTTCCTACTTTACAAGCCATATGACACACGGATACCTGAAAATACAAATGGCGTATTCACATATTTTGACTCTCTAGTGAATGGCAAATTTTATCTGCGGACACGTCCGAATTTGCTGCGTTTTTATTGCGTTTGTGATGTATTTTTGTAAAAAGGCAGCTAATACACAATTTTAATTGCATATTAGTTTCCCTTTTGATGCCCTTTAATTGAATATTTGAAAAGCGCAACAAAAGGACAGCAAATACATAATGAGTAAGATATTTGTTGCACTTGTGCTGTATTTTTACAAATACTCACAAAATGGTAGCTAATATGCAATTACAATTGTGTATTAGCCGCCCTTTTGCAAAAATACATAAAAAATACAATAAAAGCGCAACAATCCGGACGCAAGCTTGCGTCCGGTGTCCGCACAGAATAATTTGCCCTAGTGAATGGATAATATTTGAGTAGACAAATTATATTTATTACTTTAGGCTCTTTAACAAAATCTGCTGCTAAGCAATGGTAATGAGTGGAGAACATGCCCCTACAGTCAGTTTCATGAACCAGATACTGTAAAACAGATCCAGCAATTGCTTGTCCATCAGAAGTAGATGTTCCCCGACCAAGTTCATCAAGTGCTACAAAGGAATGTCGGGTCGCAGAAGACAACACAGATGCAGTTTCTGAAAGCTCGGTCAGGAATGTGCTTTGGCCAGTGATAATGTGATCTCTTGCTCCCATGCGGACAAAGATGCGATCAACAGGTGAGAGCTCGAAGCTCTCTGCTGGAACATCAGCTCCAATCTAGGTAGATAATGAATTAAATTAGCAAGTGAGTGTCGAACTAAGGCTTCGTTTGGGAATGTTTTTTTATTGCTTCTTAAAGGGACTTTCTAGTACAAAAATTAAAATTTCTATACTAAAAAGCCGCTTTAAGAAACAATAAAAAAGCCGTCCCAAACGAAGCGGAAGTAAAATCCAAGCCATTACAAAAAGGGTAAGTTAGTAATGAAGCTGAAGGGGATTGGAACTTTCAAACTCATATAAAAGTTGATAACTAAGATCAAGAACTGGGCAATACCTGTGCTAAGATTATAGACATGCAAACTTGACGAAGAAGCGTTGATTTACCACCCATATTAGGACCAGTGAGAAGAATAAAACTGGCTTGTTCAATTCCACCAATACTGACATCATTGGGGACGAAGGAGCCCTTTCCTAAAGCATCAATCCTGAGAGTAGGATGTCCCAAGCTTTTACCATACAAGAAGGGAGTGGTGATATTGCCTGAATCCTTTATATCTTTGATAACTGGCCGGCATGTAGGCCCTTCATAATAGTCGCCAGCAATTGCGAGACTGATTAAAACGTCTAATTCTGCAATAAGAATCAGATGTCCTCAGTAATGCAGTGAAATGGATTTCATAAACATAAAATTTCAAAAGTAAAGAAGAGAAATGGAATGCTACTGAAGAAATCTATATTTAGCAGATATCAAAATGATGGTGCCACAAAATTCAAGCCATTAAAGGATTTAAGTTCAGAATAGGGAGTTAAATTATGACTCTTACTACAGTCTAGTCCAATGTGTTGCATACTTGAATAAATACATTGAAATGAAGCGCACAAGCAATCAGAAGAGAAGAAGAAAGGGTGACATGCGGACTCCTATCCCTTTGTAATAACAGACTATAGTGCTAGTCAGAGTTCTAAAGGCACACAGCACAATTTGATGTGCAAGATTTCTTTTTTTGATTCAATCCGCAAAGCCCAAAGTGATGTAGAGTACTTCCTAACAAGAGTGCTCATGATAACTTGATTATCAAAATTTAAATCATCTCAAAATATAATTTTTAGAAAAATATAATAATCAATTTAATAATAATTTCTAGTTATTCAAAAGCCACAAAAAATAATCAAAGGTATAAAGAATGAAGTGATGAAAAAATATTTTAAAATAAAAAATACTCGTGAAAATTAGAGACTGACTGAAGACCAATGGTCGAGACAATGTGAAATGGGAGAGTGAAAATGAGGCGCCAAAAACTTGAAGAAGAAACACCCAAAAGCATTATCTAAAAGAAATTCGTGAGCAAGAAGCCACTACCACTTGCAATTAGAAGCATATAAGAAAACTAATGGGCAGTAGAAGGTGCATTCGAGAATTGTCGAGAAGCAACTAGCTCCATCGAGGGAGAATGTAAAAGTTGCGAGCAACAATTCAAAGACGACGAGAACCAATAATAAGTGAGCTTGCATGCCTCAACTATATGGCACATGCTCAACTGATTCATGAAATAAAAAAAGGGATTTCATTTGAGTCGAACACTATGACACAATGTAATTTAGTGACATGGCACATGCATGTTTTTGTTAGCTTGTGCCTCATAGGTAACTAGTGTAAGAACTGGGCTTGGCTGGTTCAACTGATCCGGTGAACCGGCCCAACTAAAAAAAAGAAAAGAACGCAAGTATAGACGCGAGCGGGCAATCAGCAGGCAAGCCGAGCGAACCGAATTGCTTACGTGAGCAAGGAAATGCGTTCTGATGCAAACAACAATGACTCCTTGCGTGAGATAACTCTGTTCTGCTCCGTCCAAGGTCGTTAAATGAGAGAAATATGAGAGAGAAGGGGCAAAGGGGGGACGACACCTACGAGCAAGCCACTAAGGGAGGAAAATTGTGTATGGGTTAGGGCTTGTGTTTGGAAGAGATTAGGAAGAAAGGTAAAGTATTTATTTTATTTTTGGGATTATATGTTTAACTAATATATCTGTTAAATTTTAAAATAAGCTTAAGATCTCATCTAATGTCTAATTATTATTTATTAAATTATGGATTTATGAATTTCTTAAGGATGAAAGTAACTAACACTATTAAGGAAATTTAATCTAAAATTTATTTTGAAAGTAATTTAGTTGAAAATTTTATTTGTTAATTATATGTATATATTTATATGTATATACATGTAAAGAGACCATAATTAAATTAGTATATGAGATTTTAAACTAGATAAGTGATATGTCATTAAGAAATTATCTTGACCGGGCACGAATCTCGAGGAAAAAATCAAGACGGAAACTTCAAAAATTAAATTTGAGAGCATCTGAACTCTGATTTCAGCAAACTACAGTCGAACTAAACGTCTCGGAAATACGAACCCAACGACACCAAATTTGACTCAATCCGAGCCCAAATGGGTCCAAATCGAATACCCGAAGCACATTCAGAAGGTTTGAATCACAATTTGAATTACCAAACGGTATCCAAACATGACGAGCTTATAGTCGAATCGAGCGGCTCGATGAGACGAATCGAACGAGCCCAAGATTGTCGAATTCTGATATCATTAAGACCTTCAAATGTCTAACGAACGGTTCACGATCAAGGGATTCAATATCGGCCGTCCATCGAACCACTCCACATTTTCCCCTGATCTCACACCTATTTACAAGCTATGCCACTCTAGGAAATCTATAAATAGACCCCTCATTTCTCATGAGAGGGGACCGAAGCAAGAGAAGAAGGAGAAGAGAAGAAGGATAGGAGGGAAGAACACCTTGACCACCGTCGCCAGAATTCTGTCCAAGTGATGCCGGAATTCCGCCTGACCTCCAAGTGATGCCGGAATTCCGTCCGACCTCCAAGTGACGCCGGAGCTCTGCCCGAATATCATTTAATGTCAGAATTCTCCCCGACCTCCAACTGGCGTCAGACTTCTACCCGACGCCAGACCTCCGCTCGTCATCAAGTTTCTACCCGACGCCAAACTTCTGCCTATTGTCGAACTTTCATCGGACATCTATCCTATGCTGGATTTCTCTCCATTGGTGGATGTCTACCTGACGTCGTCTTTCTGACCTATGTCGTCAGACAACAGCCCTTCTGACTAACGTCGCCCACTGACTACAATCCTTCTGGCCTCCGTCGCTAGCCGACAACGATCCTTCTGACTAACGTCGCCCGCCGACTACAGTCCTTCCGGCATCCATCGCCAGCCGACAACGGTCCTTCCGACTTATCTCGCCCGCCGACTACAGTCCTTCCGACCTCTGTCGCTCGCTGACTACGGTCTTTCCGCCTTACGTCGCATACCGACTACAATCCTTCAGACCAAACAAACACATAAACAATGATGCTTTGTATTCTCACAATGTAATGTACTCTATAAGATGTACATCAAGTAATCAACAACAATACTAGTGGATTCATTCATACTGGGTCAGGCCCTATGATTTTTCCCCCTTTTCAAGGGTTTTCCATGTAAAAACTCCGGTGTCTCTTATGAACGCTACACCCCCTCTTTTTATCTGTGTGTTGGATCTTCGTACATTGCTAAGACGTTAAACTATATATTTCTCTACCGCCGCGAATACTCCAGGACGCAATAATAAGAAATAAATTAAGTTTATATTATGTTAAATTTTAAATTAGATTTTGACGAACAATGAATTTAAGAGTCAAGGATAATTTGTACAGAAAAATAATAGTATATTTTAATAAAATATAAGAAAATTTAAATGTTAAGGATTTACAAGCAATTCATAAATTAAACAATAATATATTTTGCATAAGTATTAATTTTATCAACCACAACATAAGAAGTTAGAGCAGAACTACAAAACATTTGAATTAAGGTGAGTACTCATGTCCTAATTTACAATAAACAATAATGGTATATTCTTCTTCTATATATGATGCATCAAATATTGTTATTATTTAATTGCTTATTATTAATGTTTTATAAATTAATGCTATATGAATTTTCTTTACTAAAAATAATTAATCATGTTGAATTGGGAAGACTTAAATTTTATATCATAAAAATGTCATATATCATGACCGTTGTATTATTTATAAGAAAAAGATAAATATGTGATATGTAATACCCCAAAATTTACTTATAATGAAAATTTAATAGTCAATTCTTATAAAGTTAAAAAAAAGAAGCTTAATTAATCTTTTTAGCTATAATAAACTTTTAATTAAATTAATAATTATTTAACAGTAAATTACGATTAACTGAAATTAGTTAAATTAGTGAATTACTGTTAAGTACACTATTAAGTGAATTTAGTATTCTTATTAAGTAAACTATTAAATTAAATTGATTATTCAGTTATGCCTGAAGAGATGTTCCAATTGGACGTGAAGGAATGATAGCAGTTGTGGGCCTCTTATTAGGGGTGTCAATTTCGGGTCACGGGTCGGGTTCGGGTCGAACCCGAACTGACCCGGGTGGAAAACGGGTCGACCCTAACCCGACCCGGGTAGAGAAACGGGTCGAAAATCCGAACCCGGACCCGACCCGGCGGGTTGCCGGGTTGACCCGACACGACCCGG